AGGGGGACCGGCGTCGCAGCAGCAGCAGCAGCAGCAGCAGCAGCAACACGCCCCAGCCTCACCACGGCGGGTGGCCTGAGAGCAAGAGAGGACTGGAGAGGCTGCTACAGCTGTACATACACCTCAAGCCCGCGAGAAGTAATTCTGTAAACCCTAAATCAGCGCAAAGACACAGGGCCGCGTGAGTCTAAACCCCACGTGTTGCTGCTGCTGCTGCTGCTGCTGGCCTTGTCCTGTGGCTTCTCTATCAAGTAGCGACGGCGCTTTGCACGTTTCCCAACCCCACTTGCAGCTTTGCTGCTGTAGCTGCTGCAGCAGCTGCTGCAGCAGCTGCTGCTGCCAGGGCCTGGACCGCCACCGAAGGAGGCGAGGGCGGGGGCCTCCTTCCCTTGCTGCAGCCGCGGCCGCTGCTGCTGCTGCTGCTGGATCTGCTGCTTCGCCGAAGTATGCTGCTGCTGCAGCAGCTGCTGCTGCTCGAGCTACGGGTGCTGCTGGACGAAGACGGAAGCCACGACAGTTCTGCTGCTGTTGCGTTCTGGCTGCTGCGACTGCTGCTGCTGCTGCTCCCCTGCTGCTGCTGCAACTGCTGCTGCTGTTTGCTGTTTTGCTGCTGCGGATCTTCTACAAAACTCCTGTTTTTCAAAAGCTTTCAATTTTTTTTGTCACGTCTTTCAATTCTTATAATTGGTTTTGTAGATTTTATTTTAGCTCAGAATAGATGTTTAGGAATTTATTTATTTTTAAATATTTAGTTTTATTTTTAGGTTTGGGAGTGTTATTGTAGCTTGCACCAGCTTGGGTTGTAGTGCTGTGCACCAGCAGCAGCAACAAAGCAGCGGCATATAGCAGCAGCAGCAGCATACATCGGAAGCAGCAGCAGCAATAGGTCAGCAGTAGCGGGGGCATAGGTCACCAGCTGCAGAAACAGTAGCAGCAGAAGCATGGATCGGCAGCAGCAGTAGCTGCTGCTTCGGCCTGAATTCAAATAATTCACTTTTGCTGCTGCTGTCTTGGGAGCAGCAAAATGGACCTGTGTGCTTGGGGTGTACGTACACCTGAGGTTTGCAGTCTTTGAATTTGGTGAGATTTGAATTATTTTTAATTTTCTTTGATTAATTTGAAGATCTTTTGAGGATTTTTTTCAATAAAAATCCTCTTCGAAGAAGTGGCGTCAAGAGTTTGCGGGAAAATTGAGGTGTACAGACACCTGGTGGTAGTGCCCCCGTCTGCTCATGTGGAAATTTGCGCTGAGAATGAAGAAATTAAATGAATAAAAATATAAATAAAGCGCTTATTTATATTTATTTACATTTATTTATACTTATTTATAATTATTTATTCATTTTGTGGAAGATCTGGTGTACATACATGTACATAAACATGCACATAATTTAATGCAAGCCTGTTTATGTGCATGAGGTGTATTTACACCTGCTGAAGTGAAAAATATATATAAATAATTATAAATTTAAATTCATTTATTATAAAATGAAATATAAATGCAAAGAGAAAGAAATATATTACATGTGTACATAACTCCGTATTATTAGAAATGTTCTGTGAAATGCATATTCCCCGAACTCCACAAAAATATATTTTTCTATTTTTTATATTATCCATATTTATACACATATGCATGTAAATGTAATATATAATATATATACTTATATTTAATTATAAGTATATATAATATATATATTCAATTATAAATACTCATTTATATATTTTAAATACTTGTACATAAAATATTTAAAATATATAAATAAGTATGCATATATATATATATGTATAGTAGTGGTCCCATAAAAACATATTTTGCCTTATTTTACACTTGAACAAATATAATTGCTTATTCATGCGCTGTACAGACACCTGCCCATAAATGCAGCAGCAGCAGCAGCAGCAGCTGCAGCAGCTGCAGCGACTGCTACCTGATAAAAGTAGCAAAGTTACAAACTGAAGTTCTCTTGTTAGTTGTCGCTAAACCCTAAACCCTAAACCCGGAGATAAACCCTAAACCCTAGAACTGCCCCCCAGCAGCAAACCCCATCTAAACCCTAAACCCTAGATGCTGCAACAAGAGGGGCTTTGGGCAGATTGCATTGCCATTCAAAATAAGGGTTTAGGGTTTCGGGTTTGCGAAGGCCGACTCTGCGCAAACCAAAGAACTGCAGCACATCAAAAGCAAAATGAATTCGCTGCTGCTGCTGCTGCGCAGCAGCAGCAGCAGCAGCAGCGCCAGCGTCACTTGCGGCTACTGCAGCTGGCGCTTCTGCTGCAGTTGCTGTTGCTGGACAAGAATGCGCGATGGCTGCTGCTGCTTTCTCTCTGTTGTTGCTGCTGCTGATACCTGCTTCACCTGTTGCTGTTGCTGCTGCTGCTGCTGCGGCCCATCTCAAGCGCTTTGTTTTGCTTCAAGCACCTTTCAGTCTTCCACTCCGCCCCGGCACTTTGAGCTATATTTGCTGCTGCAGCACCAGAAACTGCGCCTGCTGCCGCGGCTGCTGCCACTGCTGCTGCCGCTGCTGCAGCAGCTGCTGCAGCAGCTGCTGCTGCTGCAGTTCAGAAGTGCTTCCTGTGGGAGCAGTAGCCGCCAGGGTTCTTGAAGAGGTACTTTTGGTGGTGGTCTTCGGCTGGCCAGAAGTGGCATTTGTTGGGATCGGAAATGATTTCAGTTTGGATTTTGAAATTCCATTTTTTTTGCATTTCGTTTTTAATTTGAAGAACAAGAGGAAGTTGTGTGGGGTCTGAAACGCAGACAGCCGAGCGGTACTGGGGGCCCACGTCGGGCCCCTGTCTGCAAAAACCACACAAAGCCGCGCTTCTAAACCCTTTTTCAGGGTTTCTTCCTTTTATTTCCATTTATTTGTCCTTTTTCGTCTTTTTTTTTCCAAAAAAACGAAAAAAACGGAAAAAAATGAACAAAAAACGCTTTTTGCATGCGCGGAACCGCCGCTGCGCTGGGGTGTATGTACAGCTTGCGGTGTACGTACACCGCCTTCGAAGCCACAGAAGTGCAGCTGCAGATTTTGCATTTTAATTTAAAAAGATATTTCATTCATTTAATGGCATTAGGTGCTTTTATTTTCTTGTATTTATTTCATAAAAACATATTTACAAACACAGAGAGAGCCTCAGATGTGAATTTGCAAAAAACACAAACTTAAAATATTCAAAATAATTCACTTAACATCTTTTCGGATTATTACACCTCTACATAAAAATATTTATTTATATATAAATATTAATATTTAGATAAATATGTATATGTAAATGTATATATATAAATAAATACATATATATACTTATTTATAAATATATATATCTTTATATTCATATACTTATTTGTTTGCTTATATGATTTGCATTTATTTATATATTTAGAAGTAATTAAATAAAAGGGTTCTATTAAATGGCATATTTGTGTGGGTTATTGTGTATGCGTAATTAGGTAAAAGTGCATTTAATATATAAACAGAAGTCTGTAAATGTAAATGAGAAAAAGGCATTTAAATTCATTTTAAAGAATAAATGAAAAGATTTAATAGTCAAATACATGCAAAAAGAAGCAAATTAATTTGCTGCATTTAAATTCCAAAAAGTAAAATAAAGCTTCCATTACTTTCTGCAGGTGTCTGAGGTGTACGTACACCCCAGCGAGCGGAATCTGGAAACAAAACTGGTCGCGTCTTCTCGCATATAAAACACATTTTCATTTTAATAAATAAATACTTTTAATTTCTTATTTTTATTTCCATTTTAGTGGCGAAAAATGCAAAAAAAGATTTTTATTTGTCTTCAAACCTCCACAGTGTACGTACACCCGATTGCATGCTTCGGAACCTACATCTACATGTAAAAAATTAATTTACAAACGTTAAATAATTAATTATATTTATAATTGTATATTATAAATAATAAATAATAAATAATAAATATAAATGTATAAATATATAATTGAAAATATATAAATATATTTTCGTAAATAAATAGAGGGCCCCAATTATATAACATATATAGTATATCTGTAGGGCCAAATGACATTAATTATAATTATATATTTATATAAAACAAATATTTATATTTAAAACAAATTTGAAAAAAATAATTTAAAATAAAAACAAAACAAAAGCCCCACAGACACATCCCAACAAGAAGCTGTCTGTACACCTGAGCAGCACTGTCTGTACACCGGCGCAGCTCCTTCCAAAACGGAACAGCCACGCAGCAGCAGCAGCAGCCTTGCAGCAGCAGCAGCACTGAAGCAGCAGCAGCACTGCAGCAGCATTGGGGCAGCAGCATTGGAGCAGCAGCATTGGAGCAGCGGCATTGCAGCAGCAGCATTGGAGCAGCAGCCCTGCAGCAGCAGCAGCAGCACTGCAGCAGCAGCAGCAGCATGCTGCAGCAGCAGCAGCAGCATGCTGCAGCAGCAGCAGCACTGGAGCAGCAGCAGCAGCGGACCTGTCGGGAGTGGTGGGGTCGTGGATGGTCCAGAAGAAAGTGAGGAGTTCCCGCAAATGGACCTTTTGCGGAAAAAAAGAAATCTTGAGAGCTTCGAAGTGTCCAGTTTTGCTGCTGCAGACCTGCGCGTACGTGGGCTGGGGTGTATGTCCACCTGCGTACCCCACACAAGTTGCTTCCAACTTGTCTTTGAACTCCTCCACAAACAGCTTCTCCAGGCCCCAGAAGCAGCCGCCCCCCAGGACGATGCTTTCTGCTGCTGCTGCTGCTGCAGGGGGAGCAGCAGCAGCAGCTGCAGCGGGAGCGGCAGCGGGAGCCGCAGCGGCACCGGCGGGGGGCGCCCCCGCAGCAGCAGCCGCAGCAGGCGCTGCAGCAGCAGCAGCAGCGGGCGAGCTGCCCACCGAAAGCCCGCTCGACGAGTTCAATAGAGACATAGAAGTAAATGCAATTAATGAATTTGCAAAACAAAGAAAAGACAGGCGAGATGATACACCCGAAATGCACCAGTGGTCTCTATACACCCCGCGAGGCCGCGCGCTGTACAGACCGCCACCGCGCAAGGGGCCCCCCGGCCGAAACCAAACCATAAAAGGGAATTTAAAACACTTTTTCGCAAATTAAATATCAATTAATTCCAATAAAATGCAAAAACGGAGGAAGAACAGCATAAGAAACCCCCGAACGGACAGCAGCAGCCGTCGGCTGCTGCTGCGGTCGCTGTGTGCGCGGGCTGGGCTGGGCTGAGCCGGGGCCTCCGGATCTCCCGAGTTCGCCGGGATTTTAACGACAAAAAAGAAATAAATGATTTAATTCGAATTAAAAAGGAAAGTGTAAAACAATTGAGGTGTATGGACACCTTTTCCGGCCTTTTCAGGGAGGGAAGTCCCGCCTGCTGCGCACCTCCGCCAGCCACCGCCCGGCTGGCGCTGCTGCTCCGTCCCGCTATTTCTTCCGGCTAAAAAGCCCCAATTTGTTTTAGTTTTAGTTTAATTTGCAAATTTAAATATTTTTTTTCCAATTTGCTGCAGCAGCTGCAGCAGTAGCAGCAGCATCAGCGAAGACACGGGTCCGTCTGCTGCGGCAGTAGTGACACCGCGAGCCGGAGAGCGAGGGGGAGGCGAAGGCAAGAGAGACAAGTTCAGATTTGAATTAAATTAAATTAAATCGAAGAAAAATATTAATTTAATTTAAATAGAAACAAAATTGCACACATAAGGAGCAGCGGGAAGCAACAGACACCCGCTGCTGCTGCTGCTGCTGCTGCAGCTGCCGAGACACCGCAGCACAACTCGAGCGCGCAGCAGCAGCAGCAGCAAAATAGGAAGCAATTAAAATCTGCTCCAGTTGGAGACAAAAGCTGCCGAAAACACCTTGCCCTGCAGCAGCAGAAGCAGCTTTTCGAAGCCAATAAACATTTATTTAAAAATAAACATTTATAAAAAGATAAACATTTGTAAAAGAATTAACAATTATAAAAGAATTGACATTTGAAAGAAATAAAGATTAATTAAGAATATATTTACTGGCAATTTATCTTTCACCCATCTTCACAGAGGTTCCAGTGTACGTACACCTCCGCAGGCGCTCTGCTGCAACAACAGCGCAAAACGAACTGCTGCTGCTGCTGCTGCTGCTGCTGCAGGCGTGAATACCTTCCGTGGCAAGAATGGCAGCAGCAGCAGCAGCAGCAGCAGCAAGCCGCTGCTCGGAGCTGCTGGCTGTGGGCAAATGCCCCGAAGGCTCCCCACTTTCGTTAATTTCAAAACTGAGGACTTTTGAGTTAAAAGAAATCGGCAGCAAAGAGTGAGGCGTTGCTGCGGTGTACGTACACCTCAGGCGCGGGCAGCAGCTGCACGTACACCGCAGCAGCCAGCTGCATGCATGCGCTCCAAAATCCAACAAGTGTCTTCTTCTTTATCCATTTAAAACTATTTAATCTTTTTATTTATCTGTTAAAACAAATAAAATAAAATAAATCTTTAATTGCTTTAATTTGTTTCCAAAAAGATCCGAAGAGAAATTTTTCTGAAACGCCAAATCCAAGTAAATTCAGGTGTACGTACACCCGAGCGCTGGCGAGCATGCGCGGCTGAAGTGGAAACTTTTTAGTTCTTTATTTTTATTATTTTGCTTCCACATTTTGCAAAAGTTATCCATTTACACATTTAAATTTCATTTAAATCTAATTCTGCAAATTTAACTTAATTCACTTTCCACTTTTTCCAAATCCAACGCCCAAACGTCTCCCACGCAGTGTACGTACACCCCAATACCGCAGCAAAGGCCCCGCAAGAGGCCAAACTTCGGCAGCAGCAACAGCAGCAACAGCAGCAGCAGCAGCAGCAGCAGGGTGTGTGTGCAGGTGGCTGCAGCAGCAAGCTGAGCTCGAGCAGCTTTCTGCTGCTCTTCATGAGGAAGCCATTAGCGGGGGCCCCGAGACAACACTGCAATGCTTTTGTGGAACAACTAAGGTTTGCTGCTGCTGCTGCTGTTGCTGCTGCTGCTGCTGTTCTTGCGGCTGCTGCTAGCGCTGCTGCTGTTACTGCGGTTGCGAGTGCTCCAGTGCTGCTGCGAGCCTTGCTGCTGCGGCCGCTGCTGTTTTTACTGCTGCTGCTGCTTCTAGTGCTGCTGCGGGTCTTGCTGCCGGCTGCTGCTGCTGTCATCGCTGCCGCCGCCGTTGCTGCTGCTTCTGCTGCTCCCATGCAGTAGAGGAGCTAGGTGGCCGTCGACCACTTCTGCTGTTGCTGCTGCTGCTACGGCTGCTGCTGCTGCTGCTGCAGGTTGGTGTGCTGATAGAGGAAATAATCTCCATTGATTTGTGGAAGGAAAAAGTTTTGCCTTTCCTCAAGGAAGACTCCAGGGCCTCAAGCTTTGCTTTCTACCTCCCAGTCAGACAATTTGCTGCTGCTGCTGCTGCTGCTGCTGCTGTTGCGTCTATTATTAGCTCCCAGGGCTTTGGTTTCTGCTGCGACTGCTCCTTGCTCTCTTGCAATCGCATTCGCTGCTGCTGCTGCTGGGCTGCTGCTGCTGCTCCTTTGCGGCTGCTGCTGCTCTTCTGCTGCTTCTGCTGCTGCCTTGCATGCGCCCACAAGAACAAGAATGAATATTTCACAGCCCCATATACTAGAGCCTAGGGTTTAGGGTTTAGGGTTTAGAGTTTAGGGTCTAGGGTTTAGGGTTTAGGGTTTAGGGTTTAGGGTTCAGGGTTTGTGGGAGTTCAGGTCTATTACGAAGCTCTCTTAGCCTCCATATTAGAGATTTTGCTGTTCAATCCACTTGCAGCAGCAGCAGCAGAAGCGCAGCTGCCGGATCTGGTGGAGTACTGCCACAGGAAGCTTCAGAATATGCTGCTACGGTTCGCTGCTGCTGCTGCTGCTGCTGCTGCTGCTATGCCGCTGGTGCTGGTGCTGCAGTTGTTCTTTCGTAGTGCGGCTGCTGTCTCCCCTTTCCAGGCTCTTGCTGCTGCTGCTGCTGCTGCTACTGCTGCTGCTGCTTTCTACTGCTTATGTGTCTCTGATTCAGGAGCACGGGCGAAGGAGCAGCAGCGGCCGTCGACCCCGCTGCTGCTGCTGCTGCTGCTGCTGCTTCTGCTGCTGCAGCGCAGCAGCAGCAAGAAGCAGACGTGGCCTTCGCCGTAGAAATGTGCTGCTTGTCAATTCTTCGATTTATCTGCGACAGCAGAAAGGACATGCAAATGACTGTCACCACTTTGCTGTACGAACAGTACGGTGAGCCCGCGCCCCTCAGCACACGCTGCAGCAGCAGCAGCAGCAGCAGCAGCAGCAAACAGCAGCAGCAGCAGTGATAGTAGTACTTGTAGGAGTAGCTGTAATACTAGAGGTGGGACTAGTAGCAGCAGTGGGGGAAGCAACAGCAGCAGCAGCAGCAGTGGTATCAGTACGAGTAGCAAAAGCAGCAGCAGCAGCAGCAGTAGTAGTAGTAGAAGTAGCAGCAGCAGCAGCAGCGGTGTCAAGGAAACACAGAAACGGGTCGGAACAACAACAACATCAGCAGCAGCAGCAGCAGCAGAATCCGCACCGCAGGCGCAAGCAGCAAGACCAAAAAGAGATGCGGTAGCAACATCTCTAACAGCAGCAGCAGCAGCAGCAGCAGCAGCGGCAGAATTGTTGTTATCTTCGCAGATGTGCTGCTAGCTCTGACGGCTCTTCTCGAGCAGCAGCCCTGGAGGCGGCGGACAGCCAAAGGAGATCTTCAGGTCTATGAGGACCAGCAGTAAGCTGCTGCTGCTGCTGCTGCTGTTGCTGCTGCTGCTGCTGCTGCTGCTACTGCTGACTGTAAAACGTTTGTAGCAGCAATGGGAAGCACGAGAGAGCTGCATACTTGGAGCCAAAAGACACTGCAGTCAGCGATCCTCGTCATCGTTTGCTGCTGCTGCTGCTGCTGCCGTTGCTGCTGCTGCCGTTGCTGCTGCTGCTGCTCCTGCTGTTGCTGTTCCTGCGGCCATTGCTGCTGTTGCTGTTCCTGCGGCCATTGCTGCTGCTGCTGCGGCACAGATGGAAAACTATTGATCGCGGAGATGTGCGCATAACCAAAGCAGAGGCGCAGGTGTGGAAGCTGCTGCAGCTGCTGCAGCTGCTGCTTCTACTGCTGCTGCTTCTACTACTGCTGCTACAGCTGCCGCTGCTGCTGCTGTTTTCGCTAATGGGGATGTTGTTGCATGTGTAGAGCCTGCCTGGAGCTTCTTTGTTTATCTCCTGCTGTTGCTGCTGCTGCTACTGCTGCTATATGTGCTGCTGCTACTGCTGCTGCTACTGCTGCTACTACTGCTGCTACAACTGCTGCTGCTGCTGCTAATGCTGCTACTACAACTGCTGCTGCTACCGCTGCTGTTGCTGCTGCTGCTGTGGGCTTTGCCTGTTTTAGGTGTGGCTTACAGTGTATAGCCTTGTCATGGACCCTGACTGCAAACAACGGTGAGCTGTAGCTGTGCACGCAACTCAAAGCAGCAGCAGCAGCAGCAGCAGCAGCGACAGTGGCAGCAGCACCAGTAGCGACAGCAGCAGCAACAGCAGCAACAAAGCAAATGTGCTTTACGTGCAGATACGAATTGACGAGCTTCAGGAGAGACAATCTCTTAAGGGTGCGACTAGTTTGGTGGTGCTGCTGTTGCTGCTGCTGTTGCTGACACTGCTGCTGCTGCTGCTGCTGCCTCTGTTACTGCTGCTGTTCTGCTGCTCGAGTTGCTGGCAGTCGTGCTGCTGCTGCTGTTGTTGGAGGCGGTGCTGCCAGCGCTTTTGCCTTTGCTGCTGCTGCTATTTCTGCTGCCGCCCTTTAAACCTGACGTTCCTTGGTGGCCTAGCAGCAGCAGCAGTAACAGCAGCAGCAGCAGCAACAGCAGCAGCAGTAACAGCAGCAGCAGTGCGCCTGTAGGTGCGTGCAGCTGCGAAGACACCTGAATGAGATGCTGTATGACCAGCTGCCTCCTCTAAAGAACCTGCACCACCACTTGGAGGTTTGTTGCTGCTGCTGCCGTTTTTGCTGCTGTTCTGCTGCTGCTGCTGCTGTTGCCGCTGCTGCTTTTACTGTTGCTGCTGCTGCTGCTGTTGCTGCTGCTGCTGTTGCTGTTGCTGCTGCTGTTTTCTTGTTGCGGTTGCTACTATTGCTGCTGCTGATGTTACTGTTGCAGCTGCTGTTGCTGTTGCTGCTGCTGCCTTGCCTGCTGCTGTTGCTGCTCCTGCTTTCGCTGCTCTCGTTGCTGCCAAGCTAGGGCCTTTGTCTTCTTGCTGCTGCTTCAGTTGATGTCGCTCGACTGCGCCAACTTATTTGCTGCTCCCAAGACAGGCCTTCTAATCTCTGTGGTGAAGCAGCAGCAGCAACAGCAGCAGCAGAAGCAGCAGCGCAGCGGTGGCAACCACAGCGGCAGCAGTAGCACACAGGAGGCAATACAGAAGCAGCAGTAGCAGCAGTAGCAGAAGCAACAGCAGCAGCAGACATAGCAGTAGCTGCAGCAGGAGCATTGGACGCAGTAATGGGTATAGCAGCAACAGCAGCGGCATGCCCAACAGCAGCAGCAGCAATAGCAGAAGCAGCAGCAGCAGCACAGAAGCGCAGCAAGCGGTGGGTAGTGGAGCTGCTTTTTTTTACGTTCTAATGCTGCTGCTGCTGTTGCTGCTGTTTCTGCTGCTGCAGCAACCTGAGTTGCGGGAGAGGCTGCTGCAGCAGCACGGCGACGAGTGGGCGTCTCTTGCTGCTGCAGCAAAGCAGCAGCTCAGCAGCAGCAGCGGGGAGGAGCAGCAGCAGGCGCTGCGAGGAGTTGCTGAAGTGATGGCAGCAAAACTGGAAATGATCGTGGCCAAGTGCAGGCGCTGCGGCCACAAGGTCAGTGCCAGCTAGCCACCAGCTAGCTAGCTAGCTAGCTAGCCATATAGCTATATAGCTAGCCAGATAGCTAGCTAGCTACCTAGCTAACCAGCTAGCTGGCTAGCTAGCCATAGGGCAGGATAGCCAGCTAGCTTGCCAGCTGTTTGCTGGCCAGCCAGCCACCAGCTAGCTATCGCGCTTTGGCTAGCTCAGTGGCTTGCTGGCTAGCTAGCTAGCTAGCTAGCTAGCCAGGTAGCTAGCCACTGAGCTAGCCAGATCGCAAGCCAGCTAGTTGTTCGCCAGCTAGCTAGTAGCTCGCCAGCACGTTGTGGGCTAGGCAGTTAGGCAACAGCTAGCTAGCTAGCGAAGGCTAGCCAGAAAGCCATTAGCTAGCTAGCTAGCGGTGAGCTAGCCAGCCAGCTGCGGGTCAGCCAGCTAGCTGTGGGCTGGCTAGCTAGCTAGGCTGGTACGGGCAGCTCAGGGCAGCTAGCTAGCTACTCCTCAATTAGCTAGCTGGGGCCGGGAACAACTAGCTAGCCAGCGAACTGCAGCGAGCTGTGTAACTAGTTGAGGCCAAGCTGCTGCTGCTGCTGCTGCTGCTGCGCGTTTTGGGCCTGCTAGCTAAATAGCGGGCCAACCAGATGCACATGGCTAGCCACAGCTGGCTAGCTAGCTAGCTAGCGAGGTAGCCAGCTAGCTGCCGCGTAGCTAGCTAGCTGGCAGCTAGCCACTCCCTCAGCAGGCAGCGCGGGGCTGCTGCTGCGGGGGGCGCTGGGCGCTGGGGTGTACGTACACCCCACGCTGCGCACGTGTGGGTTGCTGCAGCTGCTGCATGCACTTGTGCGTGGGGTGTATGTACACCTCAGGCCACAAAAAGGTGCAGCCGCTGCCGCTATGAGGCTTATTGTTCTAAGGAGTGCCAGCAGGCTGACTGGCGGGTGCACAGACACGCCTGCAAGCCTGCTGCTGCTGCTGCTGCTGCTGCTGCTGCTTCTGCTGCTGCTGATGGTGCAGCAGCAGCTAGCGCCTCTCAGTCGGCCTAGCGACAAATCCAATTCGCATGCTTAAAATAACAACGAACAAAACAGGACTCTTTGCTTCTCTAGATGCTGCAGCAGCAAACAAGGGGGCCCGATGCACAGTCGGGGCTCCCAGCAGCAGCTGCTGCAGCTG